GCGACGATAATTACAGATATTAACTCTTGATCAAGATATTGAAGTTTGAATTTAGTATTGGTTATGGGATCTTAGAATTTTCTGATCCGAAGAAAACAATAGGCTGAAAAAATGAATTGATAAAGAAGTTGTAGTTGAGTTTGTGATAAAGTAGTTTCTTGATAAATGCTAAAACGACCATGATTTATTGCAAAATGGTGAATTTTTAAAGTTTGCAGCATTTGCTCAAGCCTCAGTAGTATGGGGAACTAATGCTTACGTGTTCTGTAGATTCAATTGAAATACTCAGTAATGAATGAACATTTTTACCTGCTAATTACGTGATTAGATATTTTATTATTATCAACTGAACGCTGCAAAAATTCACCATTTTTGAACGATCAATGATAAATTTCTTCCGAGGAATTTCATGAAGTTCGCTTCATTTCCCACGGGACCAGCATGAATATATAACTTTGCTCGTTACAAAGACCGAAGTGAAATGCATGCACGTAATCCTTTTCCCGAAGTAATCAATGCACATGCATGAGTTAGCAGTTGCAGCCATGCAAAATTTCATCAGTATGGTTTGGTCAGAATAAGGTCTTGATGCCATTATTACCGGAAAATGTTCAACAATTATCAGTTGTTGCAAGTTGCAAGATGGTGAGATGAAAAAGTTTGCGACATTTGCTCAATCCATATTTAGTTTTTCTTAATGAACAGCAAGGCAAGGTCCGAACTTAAGCATTTTCGATACACGTTTCCTGCCAAAATTTCACGTCAAACTCGATTCGCGCGACGAAAACTAACGAAGTCAGTTCCTAACTAAGATATTTCGATGCATGGATTCTAATCTCTCATTCATGGAGAAACAAAAGTTTACGCGAGTCAAATCGGGCAGTAAACGGTACCGTTGGTAGTCTCTTCGGTATAAAAATATGACGAACTAAATCTCAGCGCTTTGATTCTGCTACTGCAGGTTGTTTTCACTTTGAAAAACTCAGGAAAAGGAGGAACACTCATCGATTGAGAAGTCTGCCAAGATCGTTGTATAATAGTGAGCGAATTGATTCAAATAAAATATTGCTTTTCTTGCGAACGGGAAATTCTAAATTCTGTGGCTCGATTGTTGAATCGATATCGAATGACATTATTGATCGATAAGTAGCATTGTTCAGATAGGGAGTTATCGATCAAGGTAATTCGATAACGATTCAACAAGCGACCTTTCCTATCTTAACTTCTATCGATTAAAGTCATTCGATAGCGATTCAAGAATCGACCTCCTGGTAAACGATGCAAAAACGTTGGCACCTCGATTGGGAGTTATTTTCAGTAAGTATCGTTGCTTAAATCGTGTTCTACGTATATTTTGGTAACTAATCATGCATCAGAATCCTTAAAATCGCACCTTGTCTAGTGATCCATTGTAGATAAATACTCTTGCGTCTTGATTAGAGAGTATATCATTATCAATCCAGGAAGAAATTAATCATTATTTTTTAGGTGGCCTACACTGTTACTGCTACTATGATGGACATTTTCATACATCCGCTGATAAAACGGAAAGTTCACGTATTGGATTATGCTTTGCGCACATCAAGCTCCGCAACTTCAAAAGTAATTTCGTGAACATTATTCCGGCACGTGTCTTGCGAAAGTTCCTCGTTCACTCGGGAAGTTAGGTTTGAAAGACGTGAGTAAGATTTCGGGAAAGTGCTTCGCCGGATGAGACTACACATTTCATTTCATCCGAGGAAACAAAATGAGAAACTGCACTTTTAAACAATACTGCCGTGCTAAGGAACAACGCCGTATGAACATTCGAGAGTTTCCAAATATCCTCTAATAAAATAATTATTTTTCAGGAAATTTCTGGATATTTTTCCTTGAAATTTTCAGGGACTATAGATGAAATTTCGAACGAAGTTATCTAAAAAGTTGGAAGGAAAATATTAATAAATTTACCAGGAAATCCTTGTTTTATGAAAGGAAATTTGACAACGCCTGAAGGTTCATTCGGTGTTTTTCCTCAGCAGAATACGAGAACCATGATTTTCTAGGAATAAGTTACCCATACCCAATTCATATTCCAGGCTGTATCATTTAATTCTTCATATAGGGAATTATATTCTATTTGAGAAATTATTCGACGAGAAGATACCCTTGTATTAGAATAATAAAACATTGCAACATGCCTCTATAAAGCTCAAAATTGTCCTTTCTAAGGCTGATTTATCATAAAATCAGTGACAAGCCACGCCACTTTAGGGAGGGCAAATAATTGATTATTTGCAGATAAATCGATTGATACGCTTGATCCATGAGCGCATAAGTGTAAACCATGAGGGTAATCTATATGAAACGCTGGGCTAATAATGTTTAAAACTATTCTGGCATCGATTGAAGCTCATACCAAATATTAAGGGCTTAAAATGTCATGTTTTGACTGCGGAACCCGTGAATTTTTCCGCAGCGACTTCTAACATTACGCCATGCGTTTTGGTTGGATACCTATGTGTCCGCGAGTTAAAATCCCTCTGGTCGAGCTCCTATATTTGACAAACCTCCCTCTGTCAATGATTCGAATTTAGGTTCACTTCCAAACAAAACAGATACTTTTTCATGCGGTAATGTTTTCCATGCGTGGGCAAGTATTTACGAGGTATTTGGGCGTTGAACCCAGTCAGCTATTTAAGCTGTCAGCACTTGACGGGTCATCATAGAGTCTGCGGTTACCTGACGTATCAATTCGTCAGTTTGTCAGCCAAGTTTGATCACATCAAAATACCTCAAAGCTGTCTGCTTGATTAAGCTGAGGCTTTGCTTGTGAGCTACACCGCTGATATAATAACTCCTGCATCTAGCTCAATTTCATGCCCCTTTTCCTAACCCCTCCCCCTTTCATTCACCACGCAGCCAAAGCTTGATGCGAAAGGGTGATGTTGACGTCGGAAACTGATGAATGCTATGACGAGGTCAACTCTGCGACGAGAGTTTCAGAGTCTCCACGGCTAGTTTATATTTTAGAGAGGAAACTATTGGGTTAATTTTCTAAAATGTTTAGTTTTCAGCGTTGTAAAATCATAAAGAAAAGCCGGTAAAAGTGTTAACGAATTCCATGCATTTGCTTTAATTTTAGTGGATGAAACTTTAACGGAGATCCTGAAACACTGCAACCAAAGAAATGCTCTTTCTGCAGTCAGCGCTTCAATTGTGGTCTACAAAAAGCTTGAAGTTACATTATCGCCCTTATAACTCACAGCACAGGCGCAGACATTATATGACTGATATCGATGCAATATTATCGCACAACGATTTTTACAGCTGTGTGCCGCTGTTTGTTTATGAAATAGCGAGGGTTGGAAACCCATCTTACTGTTCCAGGCTCCGACGATATTAAAAGATATAAATTTCAGAGGCTAGTCTGGTAGTCTCATTGAGAGCCTACGGAAAAAAAGAAAAAAAAAAAAGGTACCGCAGATATCATGATGCATGATGCCTTGTAAAGCTACAGCCGCGTATGATACGAAAAAACTATTTGCAGATACGCGGTTTATGCATCATGAATACATTCGGGAGATAAATCGTTTAAAAAAATTTCCCGGTCCAATTTTTAAGATGTAGGTATTAAAAAGAAAATAACTCCGAGGAAACGCATCTGACCGAATTGTGAATCCGTTTTTTAACTAATAAACATGGGAACGAAAACATTTAACGAAATTACGAACTGAAGAGTTGTGACTTTAATAAGTTAGTGGTGAATTAAAACTAAGCATATAACCATTTTTCTTGTGAGAGTTAATCTCATTGATAAGACAGATTTCTGTGAGACGTAAACTTTAGGTATGCAATCGGTAAATATTTCGCACAAGCAGGGCAGTATCCGCTTAATTGCGATGCAATTATGTGAGTAAGAGATGAAGAAATTGGTAATGACTGATTGATTCCATGACCAATACTTTTGAAACGTGTGTAAAGTGCGGAGAGGATCTAGTTGATAGGCATTGGAGCTAAGAAATCAAAGAGCTGAGTAGTTTTTTGGTAGATCAATACTGTGACTCACTAGAATAGATTTTAATATTCTTTTAAGAAAATTCACATAAAAAATGCTTCAATTTAGGACTTTAGTGATAATTAGCTCTCTAATACTCAATTTTTGGCGTTTTNGGTCATTTTTTGACTTAGAGAGCTCGGATTTGTGTTGTTTTATCGGTAATTGCTCTGTCTTTAAGATTACACAAACCGCATTTTGATATCTGCTACCGTTCGTCCAAAATAAAAAAACGTGCAGTACTTTTGGGACAACCTATGTAACTCCGAGGAAATGCATCTGACTGAATTGTGAACACTTCTTTTTAATAATAAACATACGAACGAAAACATTTAACGAAATTACGAACTGTAGAGTTGTGACTTGAATGAGTTAGTGGTGAATTAAAACTATGAATATAACCATTTTTCTTGTGAGAGCTAATCTTATTGATAAGACAGATTTCTTTGAGACGTAAACTTTAGGTATGCAATCGGTAAATATTTCGCACAGGCAGAGCAGTATCCGGTTAATTGCGATGCAATTATGCGAGTAAGAGATGAAGAAATTGATAATGACTGATTGATTCCATGACCAATACACTAATACTTCTGAAACGTGTGTAAAGTGCGGAAAGGATCTAGTTGATAGGCATTGGAGCTAAGAAATCAAAGAGCTGAGTAGTTTTTTGGTAGATCAATACTGTGACTCACTAGAATAGATTTTACTATCCTTTTAAGAAAATTCACATAAAAAATGCTTCAATTTAGGACTTTAGTGATAATTAGCTCTCTAATACTCAATTTTTGGCGTTTTCTCGGAAAAACTTTGCACAGTAGTTTTTCATTTTCTTCCGAAAAACTGTAGTTATTTGCCGGTCGCAAAACAGTTAAAATGAGAGGTAGCATAAATTCTGAAAATGGTAATGAATGTTTCATGACGATGCTTAAAAATCAATCGAAAAGAGGAAACATGTTCGACTTACCCCATTTTCGGCCCTCCTTGTGTTAGATCGAACACTTGTCTTGGATTTAACAGCCATTGAAATTTTTGTAACAGTTTAGCGCCTTGATTGCCACCTGATTTAGGATTAATAAACACTATCACTGGTCGAACACTAAGAGTTGGAATTGGTTTTATTGCGAAGGTTCGAGAGTCTTTTTCAGTCTGCAACAAAAATTAACAAACAAATGAGTATTATTACTTCAAATAACTAGTGTATTTGACAGATTTCAATCAATTTATAGATTCAAACAGAAAAAATCAGGAAAATTGGTGCTGTTGTTTCTCAATAGGAGTATTGCACTGATGCTCTAGATGTAGGACTGTCGTGAGACAACATCACAGAAAATTGTACGTACATTTATAACATCTCGCCAACATAATTGTTTGGAAAAAAAAAAAAAAAAAAAAAAAAAAAAAAAAACATCTCGCCAACATTATTCACAATAGTAACACGAAAGCTCTGAATGAGAGCAAAAAACACCCTATTCTTTTCTCTCCTCTGATAAGGAGTAATTTTCCGCCCAAAGTATTTGTTACATCTCCATCAGTACCGTTCCGAGTTTTTGTAGCGATTGAATATTTTATTAACTTCTAAAATGATATCAGAAATAATTATTCATATTAGTATTCATTGAAAATACTAACTCTTATCAAAAACTGCACAGCGCTAATTTCTTTATCACAAGTTCCTTCTGAAACTTGCAAAATTAATTAAAATTACATGAATATTTTCCGTAATATTTAGGTGACGGGTTATGACTTATATGGTTTAATTTTTATCCCGTCTGGTCGTGATTCTGGAAACAGGATTTGCCGTCTGAGCTTCAATATTATACACTTTACTGGAACGAAATTTCGGAGCAAAACGGATCTATCTAAAAAGAGAGGTTCCGAAATAACGCGTAATCCCAAGAATATTCTCTTGGACTATACTTCGTTTTCCCAAGACCTCTTCGTAAATAGATCCGTTCTGCTTGGCGATAACTATTCCATAGGTTTCAAATATTATATAAGAAAACGGAGAGAATACTGTTAGAAATTCCAGACTTCAGACATAAAAAAACGACGATTAATTACAAAAATTGGCAGCAGGGCAATACACTTTTATTTGTAACAATGGCGTTGATATTGCTCGCGAGATGGGGGGAGTTTATGGTTTGGTAACGTTTTTATTCTCGTAATCAACCGATTAACATGGGAATAATTCCATTAAATTGCTGTTCCAGAGACCGCTTTAGGAACGAGGAACACGAGCCTTAGTCACGAAAGAATAATACGAAGGAGAGACCGTAATTAATGTGTCGGAGTAATTGTTGTATGCACGCATTTGGATTTAAATACTTGAGGAAACCGACGGTGCGGACAAAGGAACTCCGCAACGAAAGACTCTCTTCGTTTCGGGGGCTCGTGTTCTAGGTACAAAGGAATGATTCTACGAAGGAGCTCATAATTCTCTCGAAAGCATTTAAAATAATAAAAAGGTTATATCAACTTGGCTGTTCTTTCCAAAAATGTAATCCGATAGAAAACGGACTCGCTAAGGGGAAATTCTCAGAAAAATTGAGTTCGAGACTTAAGGCTGCAGGCGTAAGTCTTTAGTAATTTCACTCAAGTTAACAACGTAAAGACTATTTTGTCGCATTGCAATTTCCATGTCCTATGTTTACGAAGATAAAGCGTAAGTTGACGTTAAGATCGCAAAAGTTGCTGCACTAAGGATTATACGTCAATCACATGGTTGCAAGTCATCAGAATTATTTCCAATTAAATAAATTAGAATAAAAAGTTTATAGAAAGTCGAAACTACAAGAAAAGAGAGCCAAGTTTATACATTTTTTTCAGCAGGTTTTTCCGTGTTCCCTGTGGACAAGTTTGACTGATATCAATCTAGACTCCACTGAATTTGAAAAGAAATTTAGTAAGAATAGAATACATATTGTTAATAAGGAGTTAAAATAAAAGAATGATAATTCGGTTTACCTTTTCTTTACTTCTTTTTTTACTAGATGGTTTCTTCTTGGGAGATTTTCTCAGACTAGATTTAAAACTTCCTTTCCTCGGCAACTTTACAATCCAAGAGGGTGGAACTATTATGCTGCTATGAGTGCCTGTAACAGAAAAATATGAATATTTAAAGAAATATATGAATTTTAAAAACTTGAGAATCTTTTAGAATTATTTTTATTTTGAAAAAAAATATTAATACAAAAATTTGAGCGTTGGGAACTACCCAAGAGCACAAATGGCAAAATGGAGGCAAAATGGATTGAGTCAACGGGAGTGGTCGGAAAAAAATTTGGAAACTTTAAAAGCTTATGACTCCGCGTTTACACAAAACGTTGACGTGTTAAAATGCGTTTCATTGGTTTCCTTGTGAAATTTTCTTCTAGAGGCGCCCTTCAAAATTTAAAAAGTGACGAGGGACGTATAAAAATTTGCAGTATTAGTAAAAAATTACACGTTTGACCTCTCTGATTGATTCGATTCACTGCGAGGTAAGCACTGCAACCATCGCACCGGAGAAATTCGCTGCGATGATGACTTGCTTGACGATGAATTTAATACGTAAAATGCATGCGACACGGAAAGCGAAGTACTTTTTATCACAAATCGTTCAGTCTGAAAGTTTCTAGACAGTCATTTTGAAAGGCGATAAATAATAAAAGCTGGTGCCTCGGCCACTTAAAGTAATGTTTAAGCTACTGTTGTAGTGGCGAGGCGTCAATGGTCGATCCCCCTCATTTCCTCCTTTTCCCCATTTAAGGTTATGGTAAAGAACCGATTATTTTGTGAGCACCCTGTTTATCGATCGTAGCCCGTAGGTTTAAATGGTAAATCAATCGATGAGTTGCAAAGCACGCCACTAAGGTTGGCAACGTTGCCGTACTTTTCGCGGGAAGGATAGAGCCGAATTCATTCATTTTGTCCACGTGTGTGTTGCTCGTTCCGATAGGAAAAGTTTGTTGAATATTACTTGGTTTATTTTTGAGAGAGCAGATCTAGAGATTCGGTTGTGAATCATATCTGAGAATATTGTTTGATAGGACCTTAATAATTCAAAAGATTATCAAGCTGCAGCTAGAGGCGCTAATTTTGGATTTTGTCAAAAATAATTCAAAAGAAAGAAACAGAATGCTCGCATAAACTCATAGAAAAATGAATCGAAGGGTAAGATTTTTAATAAACCCTTTTCCACTCTAAAGATAAGAGAAACAAGGGCCAAGCTCCGGACCTTGAGGGGGGGGGGGCTGAAGAGGTAGTGTCATTATGCTCCCCTACTGCGAGTCTGATTAAAATATCTCGTATTGTAACGTCAAACCGCAAGATTTCTTTTCGGTATATAAAGGTCGGCATATAGAAAGCGAAAGCGCCTTCGATCTTTGACTATGCAACATGGACATCCATCAAGCACAAACAGTTGTAGGTATGAAGGGGCTTGAAGGAACGGCGTGGCGTACGGCAACTGTGGAACCGGGGCGAGGGAGCCATAAACGGAGGAGTGGCGACTGAGAGGCGCTGGCGGAATGCCTCCTCAAGCCGCAGCCGCACATTGTTGCATTGGGAACTGCATTAGTGCATTACGAGCCCTCGAAATGACCGCGGCCAAGTTGAACGGGCGCCTCCCGACTGCATCCGACAACGCTTTAATCGTCCTCCCTCCATTTCCGACGTTTTATTTGCTTTTACTTAATTAAATGCAACGCCTTTGCGCGTCCCTACGGGGCCGCGGAAACGCGATACTGGATTGCTCGCTAAGTTCCCAATTTCAATTAAAATTATTTAATTGTTGAGGGCAGCGTTCGGGGACGATTCACTGCAGCTCGCGGTGTTCGCTCAAAATCTTCATCGATAGAAACTAAGAGCCATCAAAACATGCTCTTATAATTACGGTTCTCGTGAATTAGATTTGTAGTTGTGCATGTTAAGTTTCTGACTTGGTAAGTTTTAGAATATACACGAAACCTTCATTTTGTAGAATAGAACACAAACAAATAGCACGGGGTTGTTGGGTTATACAGAAAGTTCCAATTAACGTGATGGATAATTAACTGAGCCCTTAAATGTTGCAAATTTTTTTTCATGGAGAAGCATCAGAAAACACAGCATTGACAATGATTGAGCCAGAATTTTTAGATTCAAACTCCATACTCTCACTTAAGGACATCCCACTGTCGCGACGTTCTTATAAGCGGTCGGCATGACTACATGGAGAAAACGCAAACGCCTTCAATTTTTAGCTATGCAATATGGACATCCATTAAGTACGAATAGTTGTATCGAGAGGCCTTTGAACTAATGGCGTGGCGTATTTTCGCGTTCTGAAGCTCATGCCTCTCGTCAATTTCATGACGTTGCACTCGATGCCGTCTTGGATTTTGCGGGGTGCTAAGTTGGGTTCACTGACAATTTACTGTGGTCTACTGATGAGGTCTAAAAAGACCAAAAATGTTATAGATCTTTCGGAGTGATCTTAACTAAATATTAATGCAAGCTGCCAGAGCTGAACACTCTTCCCTCCTCGACCATGCACTGGTACTCGTTAGAGGTCAAAATTTTCAACTGCAATTTAAATGTTTGAACTTTTCGACCTTATTTTTCCCGCTACAAAGTGACGACCCAACGCTATTTCAGCACCTTGTCATATACAGCTCGGGACATGTTCCATCATAGAGAAAAAATGGAGGTGTTTGCATCTCGGGCACCTTGGGTTTTTTTGATGACGTAGGTCGATGCGGACGAATTTTATCATTGATTTTCTTGAAAATGGTGTAGTTTATGGCAAAAAGTCATTCTATATAGAGTGTTTGAAATTACATCATAAGTTGATAAGCAAACAAATCGGACGTTACGGTTCATTTTTCATACTTCGAATCTCGGATGTTGCTGCCCAGGTTGTACCGACCTACGTCACGGGGTAAACAATCCTCAAGATGCAAACACCTTCTTCATGATGTTTCATAGTGTTTTTTTCTGAGTCCTAAATATGTGAATCAAGTTTCGTCAACAATGAAACGAAAGAGACGCGAGAGGAAACATGGAAGCAGTGTAGCGAGGAAGTAGGTGACGACTGGAGGAGAGGGAGAGCTCGTCATGAGTGAGGGTGCGAAACTGGAAAAATGCTTATTATTTTAATAAACTTGAGGCGAACGAGCAGGGAAACGACAAGGGCACTCGCCGAGAATACCAAAGTACGACGACGCCACGGCTCATCAGCATGTGCCGCATCCTTGCCATGCAATGCTGAAAAATCGGTACTTTTCCCTTGAAATGTTCACATGTATCGCACCACCTGGCAACCACGATGTGCGGCGGAGGCGACGCGTGGAGCCAAGTTTCAGCCAGAGTTCGAGTCGGACGTGTCTTCCACGTCGGCCGTATAAGTTTCTTGACTCCTTAAACCCACCCGAAGGAGCTCACTCATGCATATTTTCATGAGGAAACGCCGCTTGTGAAAACATCTGGAATAATATCTGGAATCTGCTTCTGGTTTTCAGAGTAGTTCTCCGAATAAGCTAAAGATACAAATGATATGAGACTTATCTTGCTCTATGATATGAAATCATAAGAATAACGCTTGAGGCGCGAAGCGCCTCGGGAGGTCGGACCGCGAAGCGATTAGGAGGCGTAGCCCCCTTGTGGTTAATATCTCGATGTAACTAACAATTTCTTGGATGAAGAATTGAAGCATCATAAGACATATCGTTGGTGAAACTGTAAGACCGCGTATCTCAGTTCGTACTGCAGCAGATTCCCGGTCATTATTTTTTTTCGCAGTTGGAAAATACTGGACGTAATTTCTTAAAAACGTCCCTGATTTTTTTTTCTCTGTGTGAAGACTACTTTATGAAAATGAGCAAGATTGTTAGTTCGTTAGCCTTAGGAATGGAGCTTTTAAAACACCGCAAACGAGATACGCGCTTTTGCAGTTTCATCGGTATTTATAGACGGAACAGCATTGAACATAATGTCAGCGATTTTTTAAATCAATTCGTGCGACGACACAATCAGCCAAATCAGAACCTGCGCTCGCGAGAAAAAGGAAAAAAAGAATAAAAAAACATCATGTCACGCTGCTAAAATCTGACACAAGAATCATTTATTTTATAATGACGCAACGGATGCATTAAATTCAACTGCTCGTGAGTTTTAGTAGACTAAAGTATAAAATGTACAACATTGAAAACGAGCTCTGAAAGTTTAACTGTTAGCGCGTGCAAGAATGTCTCGAAATATTGGGGGGAAACATCGAAAAATGTCGAAAGTATACATTTTCTCAAAGAAAAAACGAAACTGGATGAACGCATACTTGAGGTCCATTAAGCTGAGTTTGTTGCACGTTCTAATAATTTGTATTTGATTAAAATCACAAACTTTCTTTAAAGCAAGTATTATTTGTCTTCACAGGAAAAATGCCTTCAAAAATCGTCGTTGAAACGCGTCAAGTATGAGCTGCACATACATAAACTGCTTTGAAGCGTCAAGGCGTCCGAGCAACTATTTTAACTCTCCGGAGATAAAATTGCATACTCGATCAATTGAAGGAGTTTTGCGTGTGTTGGTGCCGCACTGCTTTCATACAGTTTTCATGGGCTGCGTGAGCTAATAGCGTCTCCTATTCTTTGAGTCAAAACAGTGTTTCACTAATGATTTAATTCCTTAAACATTTTATTTTTATTTCTCTATTTTTAATTTTGCAATATTTAGCATGAAAACTTAATACCTATTACTTACAGCCATCGATTTTATTTGTAAGTTTCCCTTTCACACGGTTTATGAGCCAACTAATGATCATAAAATTCTATAATCATTCTTGTTTCTTACATACTTTCAGAGGAATCAGTTTATTTAAAAAATACAGGGGAAGGAGAGACAGAAAAAGGTGGACAATCTTGTGAACAATCGTGATGCATTATTAAGAATGGTTTTTGTTCTCCAGACTTCTGAATGACTTTTTTTCATTATCTCTGTTGTTTCTCTCCTGTAATGGCTGAGAGATCAATAACATTAGAATTATTAATATTCATGAACTCATAAGAATGAAGAAAGTTTTAGGATTCCTCATTTACGACTAAATCAATAACAATGACGTCATTGGTAGAACCAAGTC